GCGATACTGCAGATAATGTACAACCTGAATATATTTAGCTGCGATGCGTAGTTATTATACAACCTGAATATATTTGGCTGCGATACCATAGTTATTATACAACCGGGATATATTTGGCTGCGATACCGTAGATAATGTACAACCTGAATATATTTAGCTGCGATGCCGTAGTTATTATACAACCTGAATATATTTGGCTGCGATACCATAGTTATTATACAACCGGGATATATTTGGCTGCGATACCGTAGATAATGTACAACCTGAATATATTTGGCTGCGATAGCGTAGTTATTGTACAACCTGAATATATTTCGCTGTGATATCGTAGTTATTGTACAACCTGGATATAATTGGCTACGATACAGTAGTTATTGTACAACCTGAATATATTTGGCTGCAATACCGTAGTTATTGTACAACCTGAATATATTTGGCTGCAATATCGTAGTTATTGTACAACCAGGATATAATTGGCTACGATACAGTAGTTATTGTACAACCTGAATATATTTGGCTGCAATACCGTAGTTATTGTACAACCTGAATATATTTGGCTGCGATACCGTAGTTATTGTACAACCTGAATATATTTGGCTGCGATACCGTAGTTATTGTACACCCTGAATATATTTGGCTGCAACACCGTAGTTATTGTACAACCGGGATATATTTGGTGGCGATGCCGTAGATAATGTGATTTTTGATTTACGGGTATGTAAAACGAAATTACATTAACGGATGTAACTGATAACTTAATATTTGTTAGTGGATTATCTTTGGTTAGTACAATTACATGATAACATGACAGTGCATTGGTTTGCCAAACTTAATACAATCACTGCACTGTAAAATATATTTGAAAAAGTTGTATAACCAGAATACATGTTTTCATTTGTATTGACAGCTGCATTACCCATTGAGGAAACAATTGATCAAACCCTGCAATCCGATTAAAAAATTGGAAAGAAATTCGAACAACATCGTGGTCATTGCTTCACAAATCAACGGATCTATGGAGTTTGTAATGGTAGAATGTCACTATTTGCAGCAAAAACCAACATCGATATAGAGTAGCTTAGATAAACGGTTCTTAGAGAAGACCAACAGCTCACAGATGAAATAGATAAACTACGCAATCATTGATGCAATCACATTATTAGCACACTGTCTATGCATTCTTTGCCTGACCGCCTATTCTAACTTTTTTTTTGTAAAGAAATCATTGTCGATTTCACCTCTGGCGTACATAAGCAGGAATAACTCAAATGGCCAAATAATTAATACTATTAAGATTCATTTCAACATTATTATTATCCTGACGTCTCAGAACATCTGCATGAGTAAACGAAATTGACAGAAAGATTGTATCTATCATATCATTTGGCACGTTATACATTCAGCGTCTTGACACAACTCTTAAATAGTTTTAGAATAACCTTACTTTGTTTATTTTGGTTGTGTATGTTTGCTCGTTACCAAAACACATGTGTACAGTGTTCTACTTCAGGGAGTATATATATATATGTATATATATATATATATATATCTATATATATATATATATATATATATATATATATATACACACACACTTATTGATGTATTATTAGCAGTTGCTGTTTGATCTTGCTTAAATGTAATTAAAGGCTAAACACACAATAAAATAAGGATTGTAATCTTCAACAAATCTCGACTTAGGCTATTTT